GTTTTTTTTTTGGTACCACCCCCCCCCTCTTTTCTTCCTTTTTTTTTTTTTTTTCCCCCCCCCCCCTCCCCCCTCTCCCCCCCCCCCCCTCGCTCTCTCTCTCTCTCTCTGGTGCGTGGGCACACGCCAACATGCCTCAGAATCGCTTCTCGGCGTCCTCTTTCCGCGGGGGCGGCGGGGAGCAGGAGGCCGCGGCGAAGAATGTCGGCATCGAGGTCTTCGCGCACGGGGCTTTGGGCACGGACGCTCTTCTTGTGGCGTCGCTATCCAACTCTGCTCTGCTCATCTTGCGCATCGGATCTGACGGCATTCGAAGTTGGCTGTTAGACTGGCCCGTTGCGGGCAAGGTGAGAGTGGATGCGCGTTTGGTCTTTGGGTATCTCAGACGAAGATGGCCTTTATTTGCCAGGTGGAGCTGCCGGCGTAGTACAGGTTGCTCCTTTTTGCTCCACAGCAGTCTTCTTGCCTGCTCTAATCTTACGTTGTTGCGGCGTGACAATAGTGGTTACAGTAGTACAGCTGTGTCTCACCGGTCGGGTTATCTTAGCTCGTGGCCCACACGCACGCCGCAAGGCCTTCGAAACCGGAGCGATGAACAGGTACTTGTCCTGATCTACGAACTCTGCAAGGTACGGCATACGGCATCATGTCTTTGTTTTCGAAGGCGTACCCGCATGCCACGGTGTTTCCCTGCAGCTGAATTCACCACAGAGCGGCGGCAGTGAGGGATTGGGGTGTTGGGATTACACAGCAGTATTTGTACATGCGATGTAGAAAAGTCGTCCGATTTTTGTTTCAGTTCGAGCACGTGGGAGAATATCAACATGAAGCGGCCACCGGCATCACATGTTGTCACCCACGGAGCAGGCAAACTCCAACCGTTTGTCATCCCATGTCGATGGCTACTACACGCGCACGTGTCCCTCCTCCGCGAAAGCACGAGACCGCCGTTACATCGGCGGCGCACTCGCAGGAAACAAACCCACACCGCGGCAACGCAACACCTCGCCAATATCACTCGCACGCTCGTGTCCCCCACCTCCCGTGACAAACACAAAACAACAAAATAACCAGATTCGGGGGATGTGCGTCAGCCCGGACCTGCAATGCGTCCTCTGCGCGACCGAGGGCCTCGAGGGGGTCTACCTCCTGGCCGTGGACAACCTGGGGGAGGAGCAGGAGGCTCGACCAACGCCGACAGCAGGGATCCCCAGCGTAGGCGGCAAGGGCACCGCCGGCAACATGACCGGCGAGGGCAGCAGCGGTCACGAGAGCGCCGACGGCGACGGCGGGGTCAACTCTGGCGGAAAGCGCGGCAGCGAAACCGGAACAACCGGCGGCGGCGGCGGCGGCGGCGGTGGCGGTGGCGGCAACCAATCAATGGCCCGGCCGCCGCCGCCGACGGCGGCGGCGGCGGCCCCCGTTATGGCCGGTGCCAGCGCCGGTGCCACCCCCACGACAGCAAGACACGCCCCGAGAAGAGCGGCGGCAGATACCGCGTTCCCGATCCTGGTCAACCTGGCCAGCAGGGGGGAGCATCGGAAGATGACGAACGGCATCAAAGCCCCGTATTACTCGGCAGACTCGGTGTTCAGACTACATCATGGCGTAGCGAGTTGGATACGCTTTGTGTCCGATTCCAGAATCTCATCTGTTTGTGGCACTCATCTCTACCAAATACTTCGTGTGTATCTACGATCACTGGCAATAGGAAGCCTTGCTTGCCAAAGAACATAATTCATTCCAAGGACTACTCTGACTGGCTGCTGCTGCTCCATCCCGTATCCCCAGTGGAACCGGCCTTGGCAGTAAACTGCCGGGAAAAATTCTCGTT